CACAGGATTTAAAACTGTAAGGAAACAATGTGTAACTGCACGAGTATGTGTGCATGTTCAGTATTACCTGTCTATATCATAAAGAGTGTGTGAGATCTTGTAAATGACTTCGACTCCATGCTCTTTGGCCAGCGTGGTAACAGTTTTGTCCCGGCTCAGACTGTAGGGCTCTGTGTCGTACTCATAGGTCAACTTTGTGACTTTCCAGTTGTCAAACAGCTCTGGGAACACTTCCTCGGGTTTCCCTCTCACGACAAACAGTCTGAAGGAGTTCAACACACCACAATATGACAAGATAACAATATGAATGTATGTTTTTAACTTTCTTAATAGTCAATATTTCTGATACTGTCCCTGTGTCTCTACCTGGAGTGGAGCTTCCTGAGGCTGCAGTCCAGGTCTTCAAGAGCTCCGAGGAGAAACCTCCAGCGGTTGATACTCATAAGGGTTTTGTCATGGAGGTGAGGGTCCAGGATGAAGACAGGGTACAGCTCCTTACAGTCCCTCAGGGCAGCCATGAGCGCTGGGTTGTCATGCAACCTCAGACCCTTACGGAACCAGTGAATGCATGTGTGTGCCATGTCTGTTAACCTGTGAACACACATTGACTTTTCTTTATTCCACAATAAGCCCTAAAGGGTTATGATATATGGGCATGGTTACACAGACATGTACTGGGTTAAAGGTAGATGTTCAAGGAAGTCGCACACAGGGTGAAGTGCATGACCAAACTGTGGCAAATGTAACAATACGAGCTTAAATCTTAAAAGAACAAGAAGATTCACAGAACTGCTTGAAATAGATAAATGCCCAAGTTCTGGGCATCGACTGAAATTCATGCAGCTACCTCTCAGACTCACAAGACGATACAGCTGCAGAAACCATGCAAAGATTTCTTAAATATATGATAGCAAAATGTTACATTGTCAAGGAATTACATGCTCATATTAATACTCAGGTATGCACAGCTGTGCGGCGAAACTGTACCTTGATTGTGGCTCCAAACACGACTCTGCTCGATCGTTTCTGTGTTGTCTAATAGATTTTGTTTGGTAACACAGCACGCTGGCCTGTGTTACAAAACGGGAAGTTCCTCTACGTCATCAGCGAAACAGCTAATCAGAGAAGAGCTAGTGAGGAGCCACATGTAGCCTCAGCACTTTGTCAGTTTGTACACCAGATGGCACTATGTGCAAATAATACACACGTTATCTCGGTTAAAAAACTATTATTAAAAAAATAAAATGTGTTGGTGGGCAGATTGTGAATGAACATGTGTGTGCAGGCTCTGTGTCAGTGTCCAGGAGAGGAACAACCAGCAGCACAAGAGGAGTCTCCTCTCCGTATATCACCACTTCCTCATCTCACAGACCTGCTGAGCTCTCACTCTATTCAACACACCGCGTTCTGACTGCCTTATAACCACCAGCTCATCGTAGCTCGCCGTGATCGTATAGTGGTTAGTACTCTGCGTTGTGGCCGCAGCAACCCCGGTTCGAATCCGGGTCACGGCATTGTGGGACAATGTCACGGCAGATGGGTTGTATTTTGGCACAAATGTTTCTGAGCGTTACTCTATACGTACTGGCGGAATATGGTTATAGGATACAGTTGTTTTACACGGCATATGTCTTTTTTCCTGCATGGAAAGATTTTCACATTTAAAGACATGGAAAGACTCATCATCCACTCAAGTAGTTTAATTTGAAGTACTTTACTCGAGTACTTCCATTTAATTGAGCCTTGTACTTGTACTCCACTGTATTAAGTGTTGTTTTATGCTAAATAAACAATGGTAATAGAGCTTGACTATTATAATGATCTGTACAGTTGTGGGATGAGACTATGGAACTGTTTGAATGTGGAGCTCAAGAAGTGTCCAAACATAAACTAGTTTAAAAAGAGGTATAGAAAGATGATTTTTATGAGGTGTTCACTCATTTATTTATTGCCATCAGTTTTGCGTATGTAGCCTATGTGTATGTGTGAGTATGTATATATACATAGTCTGTGTATGTGTACATAGTTTGTGTATGTGTACATAGTCTGTGTGTATATATACATAGTCTGACAAAGCAAAACACATCAGTCATGATTGGATAAGGATATAAAGATGAGATTTTTTTAACAAGATCTATCTATCTATTTATCTATCTATCTATCTATCTATCTATCTATCTATCTATCTATAAAATACTAATAATACTTATTTTCTAAGTATTTTTGTAATTATTTTATATCTTGCTGTGAGACAAATTGTATTGGTAACTAATTTAATATATTAGAATAGGTCAGGTAGAATGAAATATTGTACAGATTTATACTGATGGGGAGTTACATAATTGACTATTATTAATTTATGGAAAAGGGGTGGGAATAAATAAGTTTGTGCTTCCTCCCACTCCTTTTTGGACATGTAAATCAAATCATTATATGTTGTCTTTAGTTTTCATGCTTCCTTTAGTAGCTTGTTTTTTTCACGTGTGTCTTCTACTGTATGATTATTTTGTTTATTAGCTACTTACATAATCGAAATGAAATGCTGCTAACTAACTAACTATGGTGCATTGCTGTAGATTAAACCAACAGTATGTAGTTAAAATTAGCACAATCATAAACATGTACAGCAGTAAAATGCAATATAGGCCTAGACATGAATTTACCTGTAATATTAATCATGGTACATAATGATATTAAACACTTTATCGGAGGCAACTAGACTTGCTTGAATTTCAATGTCTTTAAAGGTCACATGTGAGTCGTTGACCCACCAGGCCATCATGTGTCGCTAGGGTCAGATGGGTCCAGGTATGAATGGATGTTGTGTCATCTGGGAAGGGATCCAAGACCGCATTGTAGGTGGTGTTGTAGGCCACCTCCTCTGTTTAATGATGGCCACTCCAGTTTGACATAGATGGCTACACTCATGCCTCTTTCAAACTATCTGTCTTCTCTGTGGCTAAGATGTGAATATGCTGTCCTCCTAAGACTGTCCCTTCTCCTGTAGATGTAAATGGACAGCTGAGTCTTGACCTGAGGAGCTGGCTCTACTGTGCTGTGCCATGCGCCTGTAGAGTGGTTGTTTGTTTCACCAGTGTACAAATATGTGCATTCCTGGCTGCACTGAACTGCATACACTACATTACCCTGCTTCTGCCTGGGTGTTTTGTTCTTAGGGTGGACAAGATTCTGCCTTTGGTTGTTACTGGGTTTGAAGTGCACAGGGATGTGGTGTTTAAACTGAAAGGGACCACTTTTCTACTAAATGAGTAAGTTTACTTTTGATACACCAAATACATTTGCTTATAATACACACTTTTATGGCAGGGGTGTCAAACATACATACAGCCCGGGGGCCAAAGGGTCCGATGCGGCCCGCTGGATGACCTTGCATACCTAATAATGATGCACTTGTGGAGGCTAAGAGGTGCCAGGTTTAGCTTTCTTCTTGTAAAATGTTGCTTCAGAGGCATTTTACAGTTTTTTCTTACACTTTAAATCGGTGTGGTAATGTCAGGATGAACTTCACAGGAGTGGAAATGTAAAAATAAAAACATGTAATGACAGTGAGTAGTAGACTGAATGTGAAAAAACTGAGAATATCTTCTGAAGACATCACAGACTGTTTGTCATCTGTATTGTAAATGGATCAGCGGTTTAAGAATTTACTTTTTTAAACCAAAAAATGGGAAAAAATTGGAGATATTTATTTATAGGGTATTTTTTAAATTGGTTTTACTGGTCCGGCCCACCTGCGATCAAATCAGACTATGTGTGGCCCATGACTTAAAATGAGTTTAACACTCCTGATTTAGATTTGAATTTAGGACTTTTACTTGTAGTGGAGTACTTTCACAGTGTGGCACTGATACTTTTACTTAATTAAATGATCTGAATACTTTAACGTGTAGCATTTTTTATTAGTTTTTTCTCCACTTCTTTGTCTTTCCTGTAAAGCACCACCAGAGGGAAACACATTCAAGGAATTTGGAAGACTGTAGTTTTTACAGGTTGGCTCAAACTCATCCAAATGAGATAGTCCTTTCTGCAGTAATTAATTAAGATGTTAAAGGTACCTGTGTCAGCAACTGCTACCAGAAAAAAAACATGGGAACCATCAATATGGGCTTTAGGCTATAGGGGGCGTTTGTTGGCATGTAACTGTGGCCCTTGAGCAAGACATTTAATCCCCATTGGTTTCAATAGAGCTCAATTAGTGCATTCTGATGGATGTGTGTCCAGTGAATGAAGATGAGAATGCTACCTTTATTCATTTATTTATTCATTTATTTTAATCTTTATTAGGCTGCATTTAGAAAGTAACACATTTCCTGGCCCAAATTGACTCTCCTGTCAAACTGACTGGCTCCATGAAGCACAGGCTGATGTCTAGTCTAACAGTAATTTAATCAGAGGGAAACATGGTTCCTCTTTGTTATACATGGCTGCAGCAGGACAGGTAATCAACCTGTGGAGGATACAATGTGAAAATGGGTTGCTGCCTTCAAGTTCCGTCGGAAATATCGGAATTAAACAAAAAGCACGAGACAACAAAGTGGTAATTGGATAATATGGCCGTGCTTCACTACTAAGATGTGGCGTTTATGTTGCTGGGTGCAAAAAAGAATATTGATGTGATACAGATAATAGGATGTGGTTATTCATATGAGATTAAATGCATTTTCATGTGTCTAATTTTGCATGTTTAAAAAGTGTAGGTTGCGATTAAATGTTGACTGTCACTTATCACTTATCAATCAACTTGTGCAGCAACACAAAGCTGCTGCCTGCCCATTGTTTGACTTGTGAAACTGAAGCCCCCCCACTGTGTTATTATTCCCAACCATGTGGCTGCAGTCACGACGAGCAGCAGCCTATCGGAATTTCGGCTCCAGTCGGTAACTCTGTGAAGGCAACATCTCAGTGATTGCTCCGTTGGCTCGCGGACTCGCCACTCACCGGCCTCGGCCCGCCCAGCAGCATTAGAGCGGCATGGCAACGGCTCGGAGACGGGGGGAGAAGGTGTGGTGAGAGGGGACAGTCCAACCGGACCAGAGAGAGTGCAGCAGCAGTAGCATTATCCCCACTCTCTTCACTGACTGGAGATACGCACCGTGTGGCACCTCGGCCATTCAGCGCTCACACACTGAGACAACGATGCACCACCGCCGCCGCTCCGCACAGTCGCTGCCGCTGCTGACCAGGTGTTGGACTAAACAACAGGGACGTCGTTAACGTGACAGAAGATTCAAACTTGTATGTATGTGCTGTGCGCCCTTCTCCCTGGTCCCGTACACAGACGATCGAGAAGATGCTGAGCCGACTGATGAGCAGCAGCATCAGGAGTCTGGACAGGGAATGCAACTGCACTGTGAGGCTACTGGACGACTCGGAGTACACCTGCACGATTCAGGTCAGTGGGGACCAACATTTCCTGTTTCTCAAATCACCTTGTTGTGGAGGACGTTCTGGTGATGACACGTAACGGGGCGGTGATCAGGTAAAATGACTTACCCCCAGCCTGTCTCCCCCCCATCTCTGTCTGCTGCAAAAAGGAGGTGTCATCTACCTTAACTCCACGCAGTGTCACAAAGAATTTATCTGAATGTTGCTGAGTGTTTGTGGCCAGACGTCTGACATCAGTGGGCTGCAGATGTTGCTTTCGTCAGACACCATACCTGTGTGGACATGACCTCATGTGTGCATCGCAAAACTAAGGCTTATATCCAACAGAAACATCAAAATGCAACAAAATAGTACCTCTGTGTGATGCAGAGATTTTAAAATCTGGTCATGCATGCATTGATTTGAATGCATTATGAAACAAATCCTGATAATCTGATCATGAACGATTTCAGTGCAGGGCTCAGAGGATTTCTGGATCCTCTGGCTACATGAGACAGATGCAGGCACAAGAGGGTTTGGTCCATAACCAAGGGAGGTTTAATGTTGTTTAGATGCTAATTAGTCTGACTAGATGGTGGGCATATTTTAATTTGTCCACACACAGGTGGTGTCAGGCCCTCAGTTGTCAATTTGCCCTTCAGACTGACCCTGGCTTTGACCATGGAGTATCACTTTGCTATGCTTTCTGGACCCCGGGAAGAAGAAGCTCTGTTTGAATGAAGCTAGTGCAGCGTTTTATGAAGATGCAACCCACCCAACTGATTCAAACTTTCTTTGGATCATAAAGGTTTGAAGCAGTGTGACAGGTATAAGGAGGCATCAGGGGTTTCCTCTGCCCTGAACAAACTAGTTGCCAGTAGCCTACACTGTGTGAAATACCCCACCTCTCCGCCATCACTTTAAACAGGCAGTGCTATAAAAGAAAACAATAATTGGTATTACTGCAAAAAATGACAATGATGTGATTTTTGCTGGGGTCTGTACCAAAAGCATGTGCCCTTTCGTCTGGAACATGTTTTGTAGGCTGGGGCTTCTCTTTAGCATCACAATGCTACATTAAAATAGTATGTTATGATGCCACTTTTAATATAGCATTGTGATGCCATGGTATAGATGATATGCAGTGGTTAGCATTGTCGCCTCACAGCAACAGGGCTTGTGGGGTTCCTTGTTCGAACCCCGGGTGGGGGGTTTCGAATCTTGGGGTGGGGGAGCCCTTCTGTGCGGAGTTTGCATGTTCTTCTTATGTCAGCGAGGGTTTTCTCCAGGTACTCCAGCTTCCTCCCACAGTCCAAAGACATGCAGGTTAATTGGTGACTCTACATTGTCTGTAGGTGTGAACGTGAGTGTGAATGGTTGTTTGTCTCTATGTGTCAGCCCTGCGATAGTCTGGCGACCTGTCCAGGGTGTACCCTGCCTCTCACCCAATGTTAGCTGGGATAGGCTCCAGCTCCCCCACATTCGGAAAATGAATGAATGAATGTTATGATGTTATGATTTTACCTTTTATCAAAAAATTGCGGCTCCAATGTCCATGTCTGAATTTAAGGGCATCATAAAGAATGTGGTGACAGAAACATGTGCTTGATTTTCTTGAGAGGCCACTATGTTTGATTAGTTGTTGTTTGATTGTGGGTTTTTTGTATTATATGTTGTATTTGTGCATTTTAAATGTGTTTGATTGGCTGCTACCTTGGCCAGTTTTTTTTGTAAATGAGATTTTCAATCTCAATGGGACTTCCTGGTTAAATAAAGGTTAAATTAAAAAAGATAATAATAAAATTTGGATATTACACAGCGGCACGGTGGTGTGGTGGTTAGCACTGTCGCCTCACAGCAGGTTTGTGGTTTGATCCCAGGAGGGAGCCCTACTGTGCGGAGTTTGCATGTTCTCCTCATGTCAGCGTGGGTTTTCTCTGGTTACTCCGGCTTCCTCCCACAGTCCAAAGACATGCAGGTTAACTGGTGACTCTAAATTGTCCGTAGGTGTGAATGTGAGCGTGAATAGTTGTCTGTCTTTATGTGTCAGCCCTGTGATAGTCTGGCGACCTGTCCAGGGTGTACCCTGCCTCTCACCCAATGTCAGCTGGGATAGGCTCCAGCCAGCCAACCCCCCCCTTCCCCCAAAGAGATAGGCGGTTACAGAAATGAATGAATGAATGGATATTGCCCTTGGCCATATTGTGATTCTGATAATATTTCGATCTGTTGTGCAGCTGGTTTTTCCTACTCCGGTATGCAGCATGTTGGAAATGTTTAGCATTAAAAAAAGTAGATTTTACAGTAGTTTAGGTGCCTTTGGTCTCATGCTGTGGGCTCCACTAAGATTTTATTTCCCTTATACCATATCATTTTGAGGTTATTGGTTCGAGCTATAATTTGAATCCATCACTGGTTTTTATTTGTTGTTTATACAGTGGCAAAGAAACATCAATTCTACTTTATGGTGACTTCTGAGGCTGTAGTTTGTAGTGCTGTTGTATAAAGTAGAGTTTCTGGTTACTTGGTGGAGATCAGTGTCTGTTATTGCTTCAGCAGGTTTATTGATAGGTCTTCCATGTACCCCGGTCATACTGATTAAGTCTGCACATTGAATTAGGCAGTCAGTCAGTCAGTGAGTCCGAGCAGACCTGTTTGAAGCATTTCTCTTTATTTCTTGCACTTCTTGAGTTGTCTAAAAATCAATTGTATTGACATGAATGAAGGTGAGACATGACAAGAGTCAGTAAACAGGCTGTGTGTTTATAAGCGAGAGAGCGGAGGAGTAAGGGCAAGTGATTAATGTCTATTAGCTGCTTTGTAAATCAAGTGTGTTTGTCTGTGTGTGCGTCTCTGCAATGTCTTTAGTGCAGCTGCATCATTGAGAAGTCTGTGAGCGTCATCTAACCTGGTCGCTTCAGTTGCCGGAGCTGTGTTTGAAGCTTGTTACTTGAAGGGATTCCATTGCCACTGAATTAGAGATGACAGCACACAAAGACCATCACCACCTGTTCATCCCGAGGATCTGACGGCAAAGCGAGCCTTTCAGCATCTAACAGCTTAAAGTGGCAGTGCTCAGGGGACAGATAAAATGGTGATTTTATGTCAGTCTCAGGTGCCTGCTTGTCCTCATCCTGTCTGTAACTAAATAATACAGATCGCCAACAAGTGGGCGGCCCATGAATGTTTTTCATGAGATTTTATACCTGTAGTTCTATTTTTGATTTAATATTCAGAAGTGTGCAAATGATCGTGGTAGTGACTCTCAGGTCCCATCATGTTTGGAGAGAAAAAGTAATGCTTTTGTCATTGATGCGACTTCCCAACTTTCAGCTTTAATGTTTGACAAGCCAAACACTGTACGTTTTTGCCTTCTGACTGCAGGGGAAGGCAGCGTGTGTAGAGATTTCTGATGAGATCTGTTTACCAAAGTACAGCCCGCACATGCTCCCCCTTGACTTTTGAGCAGCTCCTTCACCCAGTCATGATTCACAGTGTTTGGCTGTCAAGATATGCTGATCCCACCCTTTTAGCAACTGAAAGCACACAGCTGGGACAGAATGCTAAATTTCTAGCGCTTCTATTGAGAGGGATTAGCTCTTTATTGGCATATTTCATTATTTCCACCATGGGAAATAATGAAATATGCCATTATGTCGCACTATGGGGCTCTTGATGAAGCACAACTGGTCCAAATGAAAACATAAATAGGATCATCGGCTTAATCGATCATCTATTGTTTACAACCACGTCACCATTTATTTGCTGGCATTAGAGTGTGTGAACACGACATTTAGGGAGTTATATTAATTATGTTCTACACAAAGTGTCTACAAAGCTAAATAAGCACTTGCAAATGTAATGTTTCATCTGCAAAAAGGACATTACAGTGGCCTTACTGGAGCGTGACAGCATTGTTGGCCTGACTGAAAATGGGAGCGGATGGCTGCTGTCCTCTCCTGCACACCTTGGAGATGTGGCCCAGAATAAAGGCCCCTCGTGGGGCTCGGCAACAGTCACACTCTCCATTTAGATCAATTAGCCTACACCTCCAACTGCTGCTGTTGTACTAAAATCCCATCATAGCGAAATGATGGTTGACATGACCTTCATAAATGGGAAAAAAATATGACTATGAAGGCGGCGTGGAGGTGAATAGGAAAGCAGCCAGGCAAAGATGAAGAAAATAAGTTCTCCCTTTGCCTGACAGATTTTCAGGCGTACCTTCCAGCCTCATCAGATTGCACCACCACCACCCATTTACCTCACCCATACTGTGTGCCCGTCCCCCTGTCCTGCTGATGACTTTGTTACTGATTACATCATGACCCTGGAAGCATAGGAACACCTGTGTTTATTGATTTCTCCTGCTCTTTCAACACCATTCATTCCTTTAGGATATTCACAGGCTCCTCACAGTCACAATACTCTAGTCCAGCATTAATTGGTAGGGGGAGAAGGTGCAAAGAAGGCACTCAAAGGCACCACAAAAGCTCTGGAAAGCAATAGACGTGCACTTGGAAGCCCCAAGCAGCAAGGAAACACAGGCTCAGGAGTGGTACTAGACACGTGATGTTGGTGGTGAACATCAGCAAAAATGCCCACCAATCCTAGAATCTATCCTTTAAGCCAGGATTTTAAAGATATCAAATTCAGTATAATGGAGGGTGCTGCCTCACTAGATGTGGCCTAGCGATAATCGTGGGGCAAGACCTTGTTTTCTCCACACCGCTGTGCTGAGAGGTGTCTGTAGGGTCCACATATGTTTATGGATTTGTACAGCCGTAGAGATTTTGCTTTAGCATTTATGCCAAGGTTTCTATCTCTTTATCTGGTGGTATTTGGCCATGGTGTGCGGTGTTGCAAATGAATTGTAAATACATTTATACAGTGCTTTTATCCAAAGCATTTTACATTTTGCCTACCATTCAAACACACACACACACTGACACACACTCATACACTGATGTTGGCAGGCTACCACACAATGCACTGGCCTAACCAGAGGGAGCAATTTCAGGTTCATTT